AGGTGACGGGAGGTGACGGGAGGTGACGGGAGGTGACGGGAGGCGACGGGAGGCGACGGGAGGTGACGGGAGGTGACGGGAGGCGACGGGAGGTGACGCGAGGTGACGAGAGGTGCCGGGAGGTGACGGGAGGTGACAGGAGGTGCCGGGAGGTTCCGGGAGGCGACGGGAGGTGACGGGACGTCCACCTCCTGCCGCACGAGGTCGGTATACGTTTCAAAGGATTTAAAAAGAAACAATATTCATCGTATCCGCGCAACATTAGATTCAAGCGTGAAAATGTGTGTTAGCATTTGAACTCAGATCAGCGGGCTAATTATTGAAATTGATAGACATGGCTATATTCGGAGTATGGAGCGATTCTGTTGGTTGAAATGGTTGGTGCCTACCGACTAAGGGAGAACATTACGGACTGACACTATAAAGCTTCTCATGGGTTGCTGTTAGTTAGTCAAGTATACCTACCTCCTTTATCCATTGCAACCAACCGCTTCCACCAGGTTTCTTCCGCACACGGAGAATGGAGCGATCCTATTGGTTGAAATGGTTGGTGCCTACAGACTGAGGGAGAAAATTATGGACTAATTTTAAGGCCTCTCATGGGTTGTCATTGGTTAGTCCACCTACCGGATGTTATTATCTACCTGCTTTATCCATTGCAACCACCCACTTCCTCTGCTTGGATTCCTTCATATTCCTTCGGATAAGAAGCAATTCATTTCTCCTAAAAATGCATAAGAATACATGCATGACAGGGCTTATGTTACACTAGATAAAGTTCTTTTTGACATAAATACATCCAATCGCCAGGTAGCCAGGAACGCTCCAAAATGAAAGAGAGAGAAGATCCTAAATTCACGCCTCTCCCTTGCTTGCAGGCATGAACTCCAGCACGTTTATCCCATACCCGGGGACCCTTCCGAGCGTGGTGTAATTGTGATCGAAGATAAAGCTAAGATTCCCCACAAATTCCATAGTTTTCTTGATTGTGACAGCTGCAAAAATCTTGGAAATGGACGTAAGTATGATGTTTATTCAGTATCAAATTATCTGAAGTACCGTGCCCTCCGAACATGAATTTTCGCGAACGAATTTGATTGAAGTTTTTAACTTACTGCCAACCTCCGTTACAACAAAACGAAATTCCCTCCGAACGACGGTGCGCTTACGACATTTGGACGTATTTACGCTAAACGGAACTATGTTCCACGCAATCCCTATGCACGCAGTTCCTTTTGGCATAAATATGTTCATTTGCTTTTCATGCTGGCAGCAATGACCACATCCAAAATTCTCGATTTCCCACCTCCCGAGGTGGGTTGAAAAGTGGATGGATGCAAACGTTGGCCGGAATTTATCAAGCAAAAATAAGTTTAGTTTATGACTTAAGTAGAGTGTTTTCTCTCTTAGTTTGCAACTCTGCCGATCTGGTCGGAAAACTCGACCAAATCCACTTGCCAAAATTCGCCTCAAGGGGACATTAGAGTACCTATATTGAGAGAGTATGGCCACTGGGCCCCATGGAGAGGCTTAGGACCCAAAAATGGCGGTGCTTTGTTTTGGTTTTTGTGGATGGGAGGGGGGTCATTGCCAACTTTTGACGGTTATCACCAACCGCACTTGCTGCCAACCTTACTACATCTAAGATCATTTTTCTCAAAAATTGCACACGATTAGCCTTAAAAATATGTAAAGATGTCGCAATAGTGCATTTGAGTAAATTTCTCGTTACGATAAGCAAAGACAACTACATTTTGAGTCATTTTGCATTACATTAATTTATGGCGTCCGCCATTTTTGGGTCCTAAGGGCTCCATTTAGCCTAAGATGGCTGAGCCAATCAGAGGTGGTAACCCCAGTGGCCATACTCTCTCAATATAGGTACTCTAGGGGACATAAGACATACATAAGAGTCGCTCTCACAGCGCTCTCTGGCGCTCTGCGACGCCTAACCGCCACAAAACTCGGTCCTCCCCTCATCAGGGAGTTGGCACTCCCTCATTTCATCCATAACCCCCTGTCGCCAGCCTTTCACCGGGCATCCCCTTCGTCTCCTCCCAAGAGGAAATTAATCAAGCATCTTTTTTGGCCGCCTCATCTCCATCATCCCATTGACATGGCCGTACCAGACAAGCTGTTTGGTCATGACGTCGAACACGATGTCATTTTCGACTTCCATTATCTGACGCACTCTATCATTACGGACCCGATCTCTCCTAGAACTTCCTGCTGACCTCCTCCAGAAATCCATCTCCGTTGCTCTTAGCATATATCCTGTGTCCGTTTCTTCAGCTGCCAAACTTCACATCCGTACGTTAATATGTACTTTTGACCAATGCGTTGTAAAATTTCCTCTTGTTTTTGGAAATCCGCGGATCCCAGAGGATTCCATTTAACGTCGCTATAGCCTTCCTTGCTATAGTGTTTCTTACCCTGATTGCTTGAACCGTCCTTCCATCCTGGATCAACCGGACTCCCAAGTATTTACGAGTATAATCCTTACAGCCTTTGATCTGCTGCCCATTCTCCAACTCAATGCTTTGCTGTTCACCTGTCAAAGGCATCTTCTCAGATTTGGATATTCTGACTTCCAAACCCCACTTTCGATACTCCTCTACTAACGTCCGCATCATGTACTCAGCGTCATCTTGATCTTGAGCATGGTCATCAGCAAAGCACAGAGTGAACAGAGTTTCAAAATCACCCAAGGGGACAGGGACACCCATACCAGAACATTTCCTTTTCCATTCTTTTCGCACGCACTCGAAATAAGAATCGGATGTTAAAATATTTCAAAATACATATGACCGTCTTAAATGTGAGAAATTTGTAGGAAGGGAGAGGCTGTAGTTCTCCAAGAAATAACTTTTGGATAAAATTTCACTCGGATGTAACATATACAGGGTGGCCTAGACCTACCGTACCAGACCTCGTTTTCGGTTAATTAGGGTCGCACGAAGTCCAGGATCAAGGGATGAATAGGGAATCGACCCAAAGGAATCCAAATTTCATGGTCCCAGAGCCCCCCTGGCGTCCCTTGGGGAGTAAAAGGGGGGTCCGTCCTTCAAAAGTCAGGGTTCATGTCTAAATTTTGAAATTATTTCATCGGAATCAGAACGTACTATCATTTTTAACTTAAATCGACACCAAGAAATCCAAACTCGGCCCATTCGGGTCCAAAATACCGACCCCTAAAGGTGGGGGACAGAGCCCCCTTAAACAAAAAATCAAGTTTGTTATATTGACTTGGAGACTCGGAAAAAATGTGTATTCATGGGTAATCGACCCCAAGGAATCCAAATTAGAGGGTCCCATTGTCCTCATACACTTTCCTGATGGGGCACAGGGGGTCTCTGAACTTTTAAATTTAACCGGTGTGGAGGTTACCCCTGTGCCCCATTAGTAAAGTCTCTGAGGACAACGGGACCCTCAAATTTGGATTCCTTGGGGTCGATTACCCATGAGTCCACTTTTTTTCCGAGTCCTGTAGTACCCCGATCAACCAATGATATTCAACGGGCCGTCCAAATATTTTTTTCCTCGGATCCGTTTTTTTGTATTTGAACCGTTATACTGTCAAGCCCTGATGGTCTTTTACCAAAAAACCGAATGAACTGCTAATTGGACGTATTTCTATAAAACAGACCTAAGCGCCATAGGGTGAGAAAGGTAGAGGGGGCTTGGATTGGCGGCGGAATCGGGCGTCCGGCTTACTCCGTCCTATACTCACAATGCTTTTCTATGGCGCTTAGGTCCGCTTGACAGAACGCGCTATCCGAGATTCTAAATTCCTCGAAAGGAACTCAAATTGGCGCTTAGTTCCGTTTGATAGAAATACGTCCAATTGGAAACCCCTGAGAACATTTTCCTGTCAAAACCGTATTATTTCATTCGACAGAAACCTCTTAGAAGCTTTTCTAAGCTCGGAGACTCAACTCTAGAAGCTTCTTTCCCGCCAAATTTTTTTAGCCAATGAGCGTCTTGCGCTATAATTGCAATGTGTGATGAGCCTCGTGACTCATTATACCATGTGCTAACCGTGGTCCACTGGAGTTATCTTCCGATATAGCTTTGGGTGTCCGGTTTCGAGCAAGGCAATAAAAGACGGAGAGACGAGGATCACCTCGCCGCCGTTGAACCTCATCTTTCACGCCCGATTAACCATTACCGTGCCGCCAGGTTCCATCGAATTTTCCACAAAAAGCGTTTTCTGTCTATTCAACGAGTGTTACTATACTGTCCGTTAAAATAGAAATAAAAAGAGACCTTATTTGTAAAAATCGGCCGAATAGGCGAGAAGTTACAGTTCGAAATCCAAACAGCGATTTCGATGCACGGCAGTTTGCCCAAATCGCCAAATATTGCCTAGTTTTCTCAAAATTGATGGTCGAACTTTTGATGAGCGAGTTCTTTCATCTCAACAGTCGCCTCATCTTCCTCGGGGAACCTGACAACGCGCCTGTATAGAAAACCGCTGAGCACCACTCCAATATAAGACGGTGAAACTACCAAACCACGTATCTCGTTTGCGGTGTTTAAAAATCTACGCTCACATTTTATTTTTTTGAAGTAGACCAAATCAATATCATTCCTTGGAATTTTCACGGAATTTTCTCCGCACAAAGAGGAAAAATCACAGAAATTTTCAAGACTGGGTGTTAAGTAGTTTTCCATTTAAAAAATAAAGTATGGCAGGAAGTCTGCGACGTCGCAAACCGAGATACGTGGTTTGGTAGTTTCACCGTTGGATACTCATCTAGCGACTAGGTCATTCGGTCGTTCGTCATTCGGTATAATATCGAACTCTTGGTTCAAACCAAAACAAAATAATGTAACTTCATGTACAAATTTTTCGTGAGTCAATTAATTGTGTTCATTTCGTCACCTTCCAGGCAAAGTATCACAAGCGCCATGCGACGTTTAAAAATTTCCGCCGCCATTTTATTTTTTTACTGAGAAATTGTTGGTTGAATCTGTTCGAAAATTTCAATTCGGTGTAATTTTCGGACAGGTTCGTTGAACAATTTCTCTGTAAAAAAATATAATGGCGGCGGAAATTTTTAAACGTCGCATGGCGCTTGTGATACTTTGCCTGGAAGATGACGATTTATTGAAATTCCGCCATCGACCAGTCATAAATCCATTAAGGAATCATTAAACACGAGAAATTTCGATTGCAAGAATCATTTGGACGCGCTTTACCATCATGGTGCGAAGAGTGCGAATCAGAAACAAGGTTACGTGTTTGTTTACATTTTAACCTGATTTTTGAATTATGACGTAGTCACTAGATCGGTCTATTACAACTTGTGTTAATTTTACAGGATACGATAAGCAAGCAACGAGTCTACGAGCTGAAAAATGGGTCGATAGATATACTTTTTACAACGAGGACTCATGTGCGAGCTATCACTGGGTCGTGTACTGGGTGACCGGTAGAGTTCCAGAGCCCAAAATATATATTCCCGGCTTCAATCCTCGTCTGAACATGGTGTGCCGCTTGAAAAATATCAAAACATCTCCCGAACCCTTGGGAACGGACACGAAGATTTCAGATGAGACTTTATCTAAATTAGCTACAATATCGGATGAAGATGTCTTAGCTGAAATATTTAAAAATGAATCCAATCAGTCGGACACTGAATCTACAGGACGCTACAGCGACGATGGCATTGCGATCGAACATCCTTAGAAATGTACTGTCGTAATAGAAAAGAGAGTCGTACCTAACTATCAAATTTACGAAATCTAGTTTCCCTCAAAATTCGTCTGATCTTTTTTAGAGGAGATCACTGAAATAGCGAAAATAGCAAAATTCATCTTATTTTTTTTGAAAACGAGACACTTCGACGGTGTAAATCGGCAATCACATAACTCGGTTTGCGACGTCGAAGACTTCCTATCATACTTCATTGTTTCAACGGAAAACTACTCAGCGGCAATTCTTTGAAATTGCCGTGATTTTTCTTCTCCAGCGAAGAAAATTCTGCAAAAGCTTCAAGGAATCATGTCAGTTTGTTCTCCTTTAAAAAAATAATTTAGAGGCGGATATTTTCAGACACCGCAAACAAGTTACGTGATTGCCGACTTACACCATCGATATGAGAAAGCAGCAAGAGGCACAAAAATGACGTAGTTTGAGGCAAGACAGCGCAGTAAGAGACAATATTCCTTCAGAGGACCGCTCTCAAGTAAGTCAGGTTTTCTTGTGTCTTTCGGTCCCGAATCACGGGCTCCTAAAATAAAGCACGCCAAGGTAGGAATTTTGAAATTTAAAGGTTTTACAAACTATATAAATTGCAAGCCTCGTGTCACACTATCAAAACTAGCCATCAAAATATAAAGGTCTGCAGGTGTTGTGATTGGCTCATTCGATGACTTGGACCAATCACAGCACTTGACCTTGACGTTTTGATGGAGTATTTTGATAGTGTAAACAGGCTTCTAAGTATATTTTAGGCTTTTTATGATGTGCTCATCGTGCACTCTTACGGGAAGAAAATCTATATACAGGGCTGCGCTGCGTGTATCTCGCACGTGCTACAAACCGAGTTTACGGTGAAGTTATGCAATTATATTTGTGGTTTTACATTTTGGCCCCTTTCTTGCGTAAGGGCGTACCTAGATTTGTGTGTGAGCTCTATTTTACATAAACAGCCGCAGGCTTTCTGGGGCTCATGCGAAAATTGAGACACGCCCTTTCGCTAGAGGTGCGACGATTTTTCTGGAATTATTAGTAAGGGTTTTCTTTTCGTTTTTATTTTTGATTAATTGCTTTACATTATAGCATAAAACATGTTGAGCCTCGGAGCATTAAAATTAAAACTGAGTAATTTTTTTAGTTCTTTATATATAAGATTTCTTCTTTTATTATATTTTAGTAGTTTGATCGTTTTTACTTTGAGTGTTATTGAATATTTTGAACTGTTTCTAAGCACTTTAGTAAGTTTTTTATAGCCATAAAGGCGCGGTTATTCAATCTGTAGAAGTTTTTTCTTAGTTTAACTATTACTCTTAGTTTATGGGCTTTTTTGTCATTAGTTTGCAATGTCATTCATTATTTAGTCATGAGACATTATACATATTTTTCGGTGGTAGTCAGCTACATTTACATATTATTCACTACTTTATTGTAGAGTGCCTGGATATAGGGAGGGTACTTACATGGACGTAACGTTAGGTGGGGGCCGCAGTACCCAGAAGGGCAGCCAACCTTCTCACATTAAATTTTGCCAATACCTTAACATTTAGAGAGCAGACGGAAATTACAGCATGAAGAATCATGTCTAATAAGGACTGAGATGATATCATGGATAATGATCTGAGAAAATTTTCTTGGTCACTTCTTCACTCCTGGTGAACTTTATTCGGGAAGGTATCGGCAAGAGCCTGATGGATTTCAGAGTTGTCCACACTCTCCCCATATCGGAGCTCTACTTTAACATGATAGCGTATCCAGTGGCGTGGCGTGTTTTGCGATAAATCGATTGTCATGCCATTTAAACCTATGGAAAGAACACCTTAATAATCTTACCAGAGGTTCTTTACCAGAGGTTTAAATGGTATAACAATCGATTAATCGCAAAGCACGCCACGCCACTGAGCGTTTCGATGGCTGAAATTCGGAACCATATCTCTATTGCAGTGTTTCAAAATATCTGCTCCTATTTTATCTTTTCGAAGAGAAATAAGTCACATGAGTAGTNATACCCCACCCCTCACCGTAAATTAATTCCGATTTTTCTGCACAATTTTACAACACTGGTAATAATCGACATTTTTCTGCACAATTTTACAACACTGGTAAAGATAGGTAGGCAACCCGCAACAATTAACCAGTCGCTAGTGATGTCACACCGATTCCCTCTGGTGTCACCTTAAATGTCAAAGGTCAAGTGTTGGCATATCCTCATTTCTATACTACTCACATGTATATCTTTAAATGTCTACGTAATATTTAGCTGAAAGAGAGGAATAATCAAGGAAGTTTTCAAGAAGGTTGACTAGATGTCAAATGACACCATGAAGAACGATGTACGAAAGGAATTCTGCAACGTCGCAAACGGAGATACGTGGTTTCGCACTTTTGCCTTGGATATATTGCCCTATATCAATTGTGACCTACATCGTATTATGTGCAATGTTGCAACTTCCCGCGGGCTTAAGTCCTACAGCGTATTCCATAATTGTCTATTGTTTGTTATTAATAAAATTGTATCACTATTCTTCACTTTAAACTCACTACTTTTTATCATGAAGATCGCATTGTCGCCCTGCAACGCCAGACCGTCGATAAGTGAATCCCGGATTCTCGTGGGCGTACGAGGGGGGGTCCAGGGGGGTCCAGGGGAGTCCAGGGGGTCCAGGGGGGTCCGTGAAGGGGGTCCAGGGGTGGCCTGGCCTCCCTAAAATTGAATACAGTATTAGATGCCCCTCCCCCTCCCAGAAACTCCGGATGGTGGGAAAAACATTCGTCAAGGTTTATCATTTCTTTTAAAGTAGAGTCTGAAATGAAAACACCGTGTTCATTCGGTTAGTATCTTCTAAAATTTTCATAATCAAAGCCTCAAAATGGGTCCAAATGGAATTGAAATTTCAATAACATTTCCAGATCAATTGAATGCAACTATTCGAAATTATTCATTGTTGAAAAGTAAAAGTAATTTCTCTGCAGAAATGGAAGGAAAACATACGTCACGGAAGCCTCAAAATGCTTCGCCAAATTGATTTAAATTTTTTAAAAATTGTCAGAGGAAGGCGCATGAAGGTTATTTCCATTTAAATCTTCCGTCACATTCATACGGCGCAATGATACAACTATTTGAACTCTCCGGAATGCGTGAGGTATCACGCCGCATTTGAAGGCATTTTCAAAACAGCCAAGTTCCGTTATCGGAATAATCTTTTTGCATAGTTCATATTATTTTGTTTCCATATTTAACCACTTGTTTAATTATAATCCTCCTATAAAAACCACCCATTTGCTAAAAACAATTCTAGCTGTAGCGCACTTCAGCTATGCATTCACCACTGCAAAAATGTCAAAGGAAATCGACAAGCCCAGCGTGCATGAAGGCAGGCCCGCCACAAGGGTGGGATACTGGATCCCTGGTATCGGAGCCCGGGCCTCAGAGGGGGCCCGTGTTACCCGTGAAAAACCACTACGAATTCACATGCAACCCTTGTTTCGTAAGAATAAGTGAAAAATTTACCCTAAAAATTTCGCAAAAGGTGAATAGATTTTCAGAAACACGCTGGGACACTGTAGAATTCTTCTTAAATTTTCAAAGAAGTATACTTCCCGGAAAATTTCTATCTATTTTCAAGATTTTTAGTACAGAGGGATATTTTTAGTAACTGCGTTTCATTTTCTTCCGGCGTCAGATGCTAAGAGTCTCCAGTCTGGGCATCCTCGACTTCAATGGCTCATGGCACAACTCCCTTGCCATAGACAAACGAAGGGGGAGTCCAGGGGGGCCTGGCCCTATCAGAACTGAAAATAGTATCATATGTCCCCCCCCCCCCAAAAANATGTTCCAGATGTTTTGAATGCAACAATTCGCGAGTATTTTGTGCTGCAAGTAGAAAAAAAAAAAAAAAAACATAATTATTCCGCAGAAATTGATGGAAAAATTCTTATGTAAGCTTCAAAATGCATCCGATTAGTAGTATAAATTCTCTCGGGAGATGCCCCTCGGACCCCCCCCCCTCTGTGCTCGGGACCCGGACCTTAAAACTGATACCAGGGCCCGAGATGGGATGTGGCGGGCCTGGGGAGGCCCCTCGGACCTCCCTCTGGAGCATTCGTGTGAACGGTCATATAGTGATACCCGGTTTTGGTGGATCGGAACATATAAATCAACGATGATTTTTGTAACTGTCTTCTTTTTATTTTAAATCAAATCATTGTCTTTTATGAACTTCAATATAAAATACATTGCATATGAGTCAATTGCCATAATTTTTTTATTCGATTTTTTTTTCATTTTATTTAATTTTATTTTCTCTGTCTTTTTTTTGCTGACCTACGTAATCATTTGAAAAATAGTCGCAAACATATACTTCACACTAAAAAAATTGGCCTTAAGTCCAATTTTTGTATCGTCACGTATTTTTCTGAAGTATTATACTGTGGATTTCCGCTTTCATATTTGGGGGTTACGAATTTTCATATCTAATTCGCTAATATAACCCGCGTACCTGCTATCAGCATGATAAAGCTGTTCCAGAATTTCAAGGCTATAACTCGTCAATGTTTAATTATTTTTACAATTTCTATTAATACTTTTGAGGAATATTTTTAATTAATGAGGAACATTCAATCAAATTCTCGTGTGACGCTTTCAAGTTCATTTCGTGAAAACTTATTTTTTGCTTCAAGTGCTCTTTCCGGTAACTCAAAACACAGCTTGATTGACGATTGTTTGCAGGTAAGTATGCCTTCCCAGTAAAAAATGCGTCTGAACATCCGGATGCTGTCAGATTTCCTTTCAAAACATTTTTTAATAGAAAAATTATGGATATTTTTCTCTCCAAGCGAATAGTTAAACTTACAAAAAAATTTACAAAAATTGGATCGCATTTAGCAAAAAGTAACCAGCATGACTAGAGTGTTGTAAAAATGTTACCTCTTCATAATTATCAACAAAATCTCCCGGAATAGCTAATAGCTTTGGTGTCTCATCTAAAAACTGTTAATCTTAAGGGAAAATAACGGTGTAAATTTTAATATTGTACATATCTTAAGTGTTTTTAATAGAAAAGGAGGATTTGCAGGATTATAAAACACTATAATCTCGTTGATTCCTTTTTGCTAAATGCGATCCAATTATACCGA